AATAATAAGATATTTAATGAAAAATAAAATATAAATAACTAGAATAAAGATAGTAATAAAAACAGTAATACTAACTTATTATAGCCAAAGAAATAATAACATTTATAAAGAACTTACTAATATAACTCCTTTGATGTTATCCATAGTTATAAAGTCCTCCAGCTCCCCACTTGTCTTCAACCTCAGCATCACATCAACCAAGTCCTCATCATCCAACACATCATGATCAGCTATATAATTACTGTCCTCATCTCTTCTCTTTGCCCTCTCCATATGCTCCTCAAATATTTCATTCAAAGTTCCATCTAAATCTCTCCTCACTCTCTCCAACCTACGCCTCATTCCATTTATATCAGCAAGAAAAGTTAAAGATGGATATAAATCCGCTAAGTCAAAGCCAGACAAATATTTAAAGGTTTTCTTAACGCCCGTGAAAAGCCTCTCATGCTGAGCACAATCTTTCCCAAACGCAGCCCTCGAAACTGTTGTGCTTGCAATCGATAAAAGCAAATTTGTAATATTCACCGGTGATCCATTAACGGTACTCATATTTTGTACTTTCTCCACCATATTATGACCTTCTTCTTCCATCATCAATCCAAAGTTTTTGACTCGTTTCTGGCTGAATAATTCTACAGTGCATATTTTGCGAAGCTGAGCCCAGAGCTTGCCATAAGGAGCGAAGACTAAGTCGCCACCGTCATAGAGAATGACTTTGGTGCCCATGAACTGAGGTCTAGAGGCGAAGTTAAGGTCATGGGTTCTTGTGACTTCGGCGGCGAGGGCCGGAGAGGTGACGACGATGACGTCGATCTCGCCGAGCTTGAGGTGGAAGATAGGGCCGTAGGTTTTGGCGAGAGCGGCGAGGCGACGGTGAGGGTGCTCGCCCCTGAGATTATGCATGTTGCCGATTATGGGAAGCTTTGGTGGACCAGGCGGCAGGTTATAACCAGCTTTGATTTTTCTTTGGGATTTTAGGGTTTTGAGGAGGAGGACGAAGAGGAGAGGAAGGAAGATGGAGAAGTATAGTAAGGTTTCCATGGATTAGCTTAAGTTAGAGAGGTGTACTTGAGTTGATTAAATAATGAGTTTTAGGGTATACATATATATAGAGACCAGCATTCACGTCTTTATTTGAATAGTCTGCGCAGGAGAAATTATTATGTGTGGGCTCAGGACAGGACAGAATTTTTTAGATTTGTTTTTTTTTTGCTGCTATTTTATAAAAGTATTAAAAAGGCAGCAAATATTTAATTATAAATATATTTTTATTATTTTTTTGCTGCTCTTTGGAAAAATGTAGCAAAAGCATAATAAATTTTTAATTATTTAATAAATATTAAATATTTGTTGGTGCCCATTTGTAAAAACGCAACAACAAATAATAAAAATGTATCAAATTCAAACAGTTCTTTTCGTCCGATATTTGCACAGAATAATTAGTCGTCCGTGCAGACCTTACAAATGGCAATTTAAATAAGTAGGCATACAAAAGTCT